AAACAAGCCTCAAATTGCTTAAAAAAAGCAAAAAATAAACACAAATTGAACTCGCCAATTAAAAATGAACATAAATGCCTCTCCTTTTCACAAACTATTAACTCAAAGTAAACATGAGAATACTATGTCAGATGCCCCTAATTAAAGCCAAGAATTTATCCCTTGGTGGACCTGCCTAGTATTACAATGCAAAAATAAAATAATGATATTTTAATGATCACCAAAAATTTCATAACTAATATAGTGCACACAAGTTGACCTGCTTATCAGAAATAACGTAAAACTAGCACTATCACTTTCAAAAAAGCATCCACATCACCATGAGAAGTGAATGTACTTAGACATATGTCACACAAAAAAAACCAATGGACAAAATATAGAAAATGCAAGAACATGTGCAGCTTTCAAGGGAAATCCGACACAAAATTGAATTGAATTAAAAATGAAACATAAATAAAAATAGGCCAAATTTCAAAATGATCATGATATTAAATGTATTAGAAAATTGATCTTAAATAATAAAAAAAATTAAAAAGGATCACCAAGTGAATAGGGATCATGTTTTTGAAGAAAATGCAAAGCAATACCACGTTTTACTTAAAAACGCGAAGCGGTATGCATTTCCTTGTAAACGCCAAAGCAATTATCGTTTTTCAATAAAAAAACATAATCCACCATTGCGCTTTCTTTAAAACAATAATACAAAAGCGGAGCTTCTTTCAATCGATGTTTTCATAAGAAACATAATGTTTTTTAAAAAACAAGAGGTGTTAGATATTGTATCTGTATAAAGAGTAATAGAAATATGATATGAATATAGAGATTTTAAAAAATTTAATTATTTTTAATTATTTTAAAATCATAAATATAATTAGTAAAATAATATTAAGTTATATTTAATATTTTATTTTTAAAAATCTATCATAGAATAAATATAATATTATGAAATATAAAATATATCAAATATGATATAAAAAAAAATATTAACGAAGAAATATCAAATCAATATTTTAAATATATTTCATCATATTAAATTTATTTTTAAAATAGAATTAATATTATTAATTTAATTTTTTCTCGTACATACATCATTTATCAATCTATTATAAAAAAACTTCGTTAAGTAATATACTTGATTTAATATAATATATAATTATAAAATTAACTAAAACAAAATAAAATAACTTAAATTTAAAAAGTAGCAAAACTGGATGATGGTAATTCGGTTTCTTAAGAAATCGGATGATGTAATCCGATTTTTTAAAAATTGCATTAAAAATTTTGATTTAAATGAGAAAAAATAAATTAAAATTAATAAAAATAATAATTATTAGACTATAAATAAATTAAATATATTAATACACCCTTATAAATAATATAATTATTATTATTATTTATATAATAGATTAATGTAAATTTGTTTAAAAAAGTTTTTAAATTTAAATGAATTATTAATTATTTTTCAAATATTATATAAATTCTATTAATGTTATATAAAGTACAATAAATATATTAATAGTTAATCTAATGTATAAAATTTTATTATAAATAATATTAATAAAAATAAAGTCATATTAATATATTGTAATAAATATTATGAAATTTGATGGATGTATTCATTTGAGTGTTATAGGTCTAAGTTTATATTGATGGATCTATTCGTTTGAGTGTTACTAAATTCAATATTAAAATTTTCATAACTTTTACTTGTAATATTAGCTTATATACACGTTTAATAGACAAAATTAAAAAATGAGAAGATAAAATATCATTTTTCAAATGGATTTAATATAATAACCATTATATAGACTTCTTCATAATTATTGAAAAATTAGTAAATATATTATGTAATATATTAACATATATACATTAATAATATAATATATATAAATATATATATATATATAATATATTATAATAATCTTTTATTTTAAATTAAATGATTAATAGATAGTTTGATATATAATATTAAATTTAAATACAAAATTTATTTAAATTTCTGAACTTCATAAGCAACATTTCAATAACAACTAAACTATAGATTTAGAATCAAATTAAAACACAACTATGAACGTACAGATCATTAAGACATACCATTTTCAACGATATAAAAACAAATAACATTGATATCACCATTCATTTAAAGGCATAAGCAGGAGCTCGTTATTAAGTTCAAAAAGCATCAACAAATTCAGCTATTCTTTTATCAATGATACGTGTCCGAGCTTTGAGTGGTTTGGGTTAGGAAGCAACCGAAATCTGTTGATACCAATGCTGACGCATTGTCAACCTGATGCATCGAGAAACTCCTTCCTCTTTTTATCTGGTCAAATATAATGTATTCTCATATATCTTA